TCTGCAGATCGCTTTATATATTTTTGTCGCGGTATTTGTACTAATTCCTTTGTCTTTGTATGTTAGTGATCGAAAGTGTTTTGTTCTTTTTATCGTTTCTGTTCTGATGTGTCGTGTGTGTTTAGTGAATTTGAGTTTGTGGTCGATTGTGATTCCAAGGTACCTTACGTCGTTTTTCGGTTTTGTCGTTTGGCCGTCTGCAGTTATTGTAGGGGAGTCAGCGTTGAGACTGTGGTTCGTGAGCAGAAGTTGATTTTTTGTCGCGTTTGGCGTTAGTCTCCATTTATAAAACCATGTCATTGTGTTGTTTGTTAGTGTTTCGAGTCTTTCAGTCGCCTTTTCAGTAGTTTTGTCGTGTACAATAAGTGCCGTGTCGTCAGCGTATTGTAATATGTATGCCGTTCTGTCGATTTGATTTTTGTCTGGTAAATTGTAATTGTATATGTCATGGCAGTATATACTGTAGAGAAAGAGTGAGAGCGGGGATCCTTGAGGGAGCCCTTGTTCAGGGAAAAAAGAAAAGGAGAGTGTGTTGTCAATTCGTACTTGTAGTTGTCTGTTTTCTAATAAGTTCTTTATGGTATGTAGTAGAAAAATTAATATTTTTTAAGATAAGAAAACTTCTGCTGATTATCTTTGATTTGTGAACATTCAGTTGCCTTCTAATGCTGTTGATTTTGTAAATTTTTTTGGACGCTAATTCAAAATAAAAATAGTACAATTGTAAATCACAAATTTCCTTGTAGAAACTCCATCAGCTTACCATGAAGGCTGACAATGCTCCAACCGGATGAAACCTACGAAAAGCACCTGATGACCAGAAAAGCATGGTTCCTATCCAGCCTCAAGCTGCTGGAAGCCTACGACCATTTCCTGGCCTCTCACCGCATCAGGCCGGACTTCTTCTGCAAGTACGCCCTTTCGCAAGCCCGCCCCTTTCTACCTAAAAACGCAATTTTGGCCTTTAGGTATCGGGAAAAGGAGCTGCTGCGCCAGAATCTGCACGCTTACATAACCGCTCTGCATAAGCAAACCGTCTCAGAGGGCAACCGTAAGTGAAGATTGTTTATTAGAGTTAACGGGTGTAAAAATGTCAGCCGATAGTAATCGCCCAATGGTAACGGATGCGAATGGGCAAATAGCGTGCTGCGGTCCCAATCGCTTCTTATTTATTTTCTCCTAATCGAACATAAAAATTGAAAGTCTGCAATAAATATTAGAAAACCTTCAAAAAGCCGCAGCTTCAGTTTTAGAATTTTTTGATTCAGTACGCGATAGATAGAAGATAAAGATAATAAGGCGAATACGCCCTGCAGTCTCGGGACGCATTCGCCATTCCATCCAGATAATGATCTTGGTCAAGAGAAAGAGCTGTTAAATGTTAGAAAACCACCGCGCCCCTGCTAGTCAAGCAAGATTTCACCCGATATACAGAGGGTTTTATAATGCAGGATCGACTAGTTAAAAAGCCACAGGGCTGCGAAAAAGCCAAGACCCGGCAGCCTCGCTTGATCGTCTAACCGCCAGTACGACCCATGATTGGTACCGAATCGAGGGAATCGTATTCCAAGCCGCGAAGAAATTCTTCGATTTTTCAACTTCGCTCTGTGAGTCTGCACGGGGCCTCCGTGGCTCGAGAGTGGGCCCCCAACGGGCTGACCTTGACTGGGGTGGTCCATTATCCATATCTTCCGCACACTGGCACCCAAGAAGCAAATTCCGAATGAATTCAAACTGGCTGAAGAAGCTGCTTTGGGCACACGGTGCAGACCCGCATCTTCAAGCCGACTGTGCCTAAAGGACGGAAAACCGCAGCCAAAGAGTGCGGTTGTTTTGAAAAGTCGGCAACGGCGCCAGGTAAGTTTACAGGTAGAAGGCGGTCAAGAGAGTCAACCGGTCCGAAGAAAAGGCAGTGCTCCTTAAGGTTCGATCTGCATGTGCCGAAGAGCGAGCGCACCCGCCCATCAAGTAACGGCCGAATGTGCTTTTCAGTGTTCATTTGGCAAAGAGTTGAATAAAAAAATGTGCGAGTGTCGTGGGGATATGGATCCAAAGCGGCTCTATCGTTGAAGTGTAGGCATGGCCACTCTAGGACTGAGCAAAGTCTTCATTTTGGACAAATACTTCACTGAGCTGCAAAAGTTTTGGGAGACGGAGAAGAAGCTGCAAGGTATTTTGACGAAATCGCCAGAAACCCCAAAAACATTCAACTATTCAACTACAGGGCTGGTTTCTTAACGCAAACTAATCGCTCGGCTTAAGCCTAAGCAGCCACAATTCGAGCAACAGCGTGGGTTTACCGCTCTTGATCTCTTACACAATGGGTTGCGAGGCTGCAGCCCGAGATAAATCAAACTCGCATATATCTGAATATAAAAATAATTAGCGTAGGTACGTGTTTGGTGGATTAGGCCGCAGATCGAATTGGCTGTTTCTCACGATTCCAACCAGAACCATTTATGACTTTGCGGTTACTGGTTCGCCCTTTGATTAAGGAGTGTCGATGGCACGGCCTCTTTATGCACGGCTTTCACCTAGACGAAAATTAACAAAAAATCCAACCAGTGGATGTATGATTGATGAGTATCTAACTGTTGCCCGATAAAGTCCAGTACACCCTGTATGTTTTTCAACTAAAAACTGTTTAAATTGTTAACTCATTAATGAAGCTTTTGGGCAAAAGTTGAGTTCTTATTGTTTTTGATCAAGAATTTGAAAATGTATGTTCATGTTGTTATTACTTGGAGTTTCATTTAACATGCGTCAAATGGTTGGAAAAGGCGGCGTTTATGTCTGTCGGGATTAGAAAAGTTCAATAAAACCCATTTAGGAAAATAGTCCCTAAGGCGCTTTATCGAAAAGCTCGTAGCGATTATTCGGATATTTTTAACCGTTTGGGAGATAGAAGCTCTTGAAATTCAACGAATCGGAATTTTGACTTTTCGTTCTAACTCTTCAAGGCTTAGGAAATTTTTATAAAATCTTAACAGAAAAAGAGAGTTTTTAAGACGCTTTGTCAAAAAGCTCTTAACGATTATTCAGATATTTTTAACCGCTTGGGTTTGAGAACGTCTGAAACTTCGAAGAATCGAACTTCTGACATTTTCCTTTCTAAATTTTTCATTCAGCAAGCAGTAGACAGTCCTAAAGATTTAAACCGTTTGGGAGTGAGAAGGTCTTGAGCTTCGAAGAATCGGACTTTTGACATTTTCCTTTAAAACTTTTTAAAGGTTAGGAGTTTTTGATGAAACCATACAAAAAAAAGACAGTTCTTGAGACGCGCTGTGAAAAAGATCCTACTAATTGTTCTGATATCTTCAACGTTTTGCAAAAGAAGAACAAAAAAGGAAAATTTTGCTTCCGTTTCTTTAGAGGTTAGAATTTTCTGATAAAAACCAGCCAGCAGTAGACAGACCTAAAGGTGCTCTATCGAAAGTTCTTCATGATATTCGGATATTTTTAACCGTTTGGAAGTTGCCATCTCTTGAACTTCGACGGCGTAAACTGTTCATATTTTTTGTTCTAACTCTTTAAAGATTACTATTTTTTTCTAAAGTCTTAGAAATAAAAGATATATTTTGAGACACTCTATCGAAAAGCTCTGAATGATTATTCGTGTATTTTTTACCGTTTGGGAGTGAGAAGGTCTTGAACTTCGAAGCATCGGACTTTTGATATTTTCCTTACGCACTTTTTAAAGGTTTTTGATGAAACCATACAAAAAAAGACAGTTCGTGAGGCGCACTGTGAACAAAATCCTAATAATTGTTCAGATATCTTCAACGTTTTGCGAGAGAAGAAAAAAAGGAAATTTTTGCTTCGGTTTCTTTAGAGGTTAGGGTTACAGCAGTAGACAGTCTTAAAGATGCTCTATCGAAAGTTGTTAATGATTATCAGACTATGAAGGCTTTCACGGCCGGTCAAATTACATTTAGGAATGTTTTCCGGGCTTTGAAGCCGTGGTCTATCGGAATTTCTTCCTGACGTTTCGTCCACAACTGCGGTGGACATTTTCAAAGGCAACATTAGTCGGAAAGCACGGGAGATCACTTCGCCCACTGCCTCATCGCCTTTGAAAATGTCCACCGCAGTTGTGGACGAAACGTCAGGCGTCAGGAAGAAATTCCGATAGACCACGGCTTCAAAGCCCGGAAAACATTCCTAAATGTTGTTAATGATTATTTGGACATGTTTAACCGTTTGGAAACTAAAACCTTTGTAACTTCAAAGCGTCGGAGTTTTTCTTTGTAACTCTTTAAAGGTTAGAAATTTTTGATAAAACCTTACTAAGGAGAAAGGTAGTTCTTCAGAAGCACTGTGAAAAAGGTCCTAATGTTTGTTCTTATACCTTCCTTCAACTTTTTGCAAGAGATAAATTAAAATGTTTAATTTTGCTTCGGTTTCTTCAGAGGTTAGGATTTTCTGGTAAAAATCAGTGAGGAAAAAAAATATCAAAATATATCAAAAAGTTCTTAATGATTATTCGGATAAGTTTAACCGTTTGGAAACTAGAACCTTTGTATCTTTGAAGCATCGGAATTTTTCTTTGTAACTCTTTAAAGGTTAGGAATTTTTGATAAAACCTTACTAAGGAGAAAAACAGTTCTTCAGATTCTATGAAAAACGTTCTAATGTTTGTTCCTTCCTTATACCTTCCTTCAACGTTTTGCAAGAGATAAATTAAAATGTTTAATTTTGCTTCGGTTTCTTTAGAGGTTAGGATTTTCCGATAAAAACTAGTGAGGAAATACAGGCCTAAATATGTTCTATTGAAAAGTTCTTAATGATATTCTGATATTTTTGACCGTTTGGAAGTTACAAGCCCTTGAACTTCTACGGCGCGAAATGTTTATTTTTAATTTTTTGTTCTCACTCATTAAAGGTACATTTTTTTTTGTATTTTCAACAGCTCTATCTAAAAGCTTTACATGATCATTTCAATTGTTTTAACCGTTTGGGAGTTAGAAGCTTTTGAACTCTGCGGCTCTAAATTTTGACACTTTTTGCTCTAATTACTTAGAGACTTTTGAGATGCGCTTTTGAAAAGGTCCCAATGTTTGTCCAGATATTTTTAACGTTTTGCAGATATGTAGAAAAATGTCCAGACGAGACGCTTTACAGAGAAACAAGATTTAAAAATGTTCTTTGGTTTTCACTAACAAAGCTCATCCTGTCTAGTCGCTTCGGTTTTAGTCCTTTGAAGGACTTTTGGCGGTGATAAAACCCAAAAATGTAGTCATGATTAGTTAACACAGTTCACGTGGTAAAATTGCTCTAAATGCCACAAATTGGCAGCTAAATCTCCAAAATTGAGGTAAATAATGAGCAAAACGTTTAAAATTCCTGCGATGCATGCGAGTGAACGCAGCTAGTCAATGACTGTTTTAAAATTCCTCAAACTGCCACAAGAATTCAAATGTTGTGTGCTCAGAACGGAAAAATTGAGTTATTGACTGATGGTCATTCGTTGCAGGAATAGCACTTTGTCATTTGCAGTTTGCACATTCTATTTCAGGTAAACGGCAATTAATGCACGCGATTGAAGAACAGGTTTCGCTGAAGAGTCGATCGTTTATCTGATTATTTAACCATTAGGTTTTTATCGGCGTGTTCGAGTTAGTTGCAACTTTTTGTTAATTTGATTTGAGTTTTTCATGCTCAAGAAAAAAATGAAAGAAATAAGCCAATGAAGAATGAGTTTGATGTGTACAGGTGTGCTTTCTATCTTCACCAGGTCTTCTAACGGTACTGCCTGCTCAGTACTTAATAATATGAATTTGTGCCTAATCCTGCAATATAATCTGAATCGGACACGCAAGGTACCATTTCTCGGTACCAAGATTGCCGTTGGATTCGAATTCAGCTTCATCATTATGGGATCAAAGTGTGTGGGGGCACAGCCACTTTTGCCCCCCTTTGAGTGCGCTTGGTGAAAGTCGCCGCTAGATCTGGTTCCAGCCTATTGTTCGGCATTCATTTTCCTAAATGTTGCTTTTTTTTCCTTCGTCAAGTCCGACGGCCATTCAGTTTATCGCCACACTTTGATGGCCCGTCCAATTTGTCTCAACCGCTTTTTGTCGAGCGGGAATGCGGCTGCAGGAATTGCCTGCCCATACAAGTTGCAGGAATTCGAAACATGATTTTCTCAATTTTCATCTCGATTTTCTTCGGTTAAACTATTAGCAAACCAGCCGAAGAAAGTAGTCAAACCACTTCGGACCGTTGAAGTGGGTTAGACACAAAGGTTGTGCGCAAAAGTACCGATTAATTAGCAGGATTTTCCAATGGTAAATGTGGTGCGCGCCTCGAAGATATGTGAAGCATATGAGGAGGGCTTGTGTGAAGAGCACACTTGAGCCCGCAGGCTCGGAATGGTATCTTTATTGAAGAACCTGTTCGAATATGCGGTCTGCGTATGGTAATGTAACGGTTGGGCTAAATGGCCGCGTCGAGCTGAGAAAACCAGCCATAACCATAAGGAAATTTTGATTTAGCCGACCTTGTAATGTTGGCATCCAGTTTCCATGAAGAAAATCTGTTAGTTTTTGGGTTGAATTTGTAGAAAACAATTTGTTCCTGACGTTTCGCCAGCACGAAAGGATTGCATCCTCAGAAGGATTGTCAATGCATCTGCTATATTTGTGCTCATGAACAGTAGAGTCAATCCCTTCCTGAGCCAAAGCTCACCACATTTTTTTTGGGAAATTAAACTTTCGGTACGCTTAAAACGAAGTTTTTCCTTTCCAATGAAGGGAGAAGCGCCCTTTAATCTAGCCTAGTTTTAGCAAAATTAATTTTTGAAAAAGCTCCTATGCAACTACGAGATGTTTTGAAGAGCCCCCAAGTGTTGAAGCAAACCCTAGCCGAAACTCCCCAGATTTTTGGCAGAAAATGAAACTTTCAGGACATTTAAACAAAAGTTTCCTGTTTCGAATGGTTAAACAAATGTGCATACATCAAGTCGAATATTTGCAAAATTAATTTTAGTAGAAAGTCCTACGCAATTAAGAGATGCGTTGGAGCGCCCATCAAATGCTGTATCAAACCCTTGCCAAAACTCCCTACAATTTTTTTCCAAAATTAAACTCTCCAATTATTAAAAGGCAGATATTGTCGCTTTAATGATGTGACCAGCGCCCTTCCATCTTTTTCAGTTTTTGCAGTATAAATGTTTGAAGAAACTCCTACACAACTAAGAGATACGGAGAAGCGCCCATCAAGTGCTGAATTAAACTATTGTAAACATTTCCCAGATTTTTTCTATAACATGAAACTTTCACAACTTTTCAGCAAAAGATTTGGTTTTCACATGATTGAACCAATACGCTTTTATCTAGTCCAGTTCCTGCAAAATAAATGTTTGAAAAAACTCCCTCTAAACTAAGAGCGGCGTTGGAACGCCCATTAAATGTTAAATTAAACACTGCTCAATGCTCAATAGATTTTTCGTGGAAGTTCAAAGTTTAAAATAATTTACTTCGAAGTTTGCCCATTTAAGGGATGTGACAAGCGCGCTTCCATCTAGCAAGGGCGGATCCAGGGGGGGTCATGGATGTCATGACCCCCCCCTTGTGCTATGTTTTTAACGACTAACGAGAATTTTTGTAATTTCATGGACGACAAAAGACTAAATTTCTACTACTTGCCCCCCCCCCTCCTGACTCGGAAGCTGGATCCGCCCCTGCCATCTGAATGTCGATGAATTTTGAAAGAAACTCTTACGCAACTAAAAGATACGATGGAGCGCCCATCAAGTGTTGAATCATCCACTCGCCAATATTCACTAGATTTTTTCAAGCAGATGAAACTTTCTGGACTTCGATCGAGTCTAACGTTTTCAAACTGAATTTTTGAAGTTGCAACTAAAAGATGCCTGTAAGCGCTCAAGTGCTGAATCAACCACGCGCCAATATTCACCAGATTTTTTTGTAACAAATGAAATTTTCAGGATTCGTAACGCGAGATTTTCTCTTTTCAATTATATGACTAGCCAGCTTCGATCGAGTCTAACGTTTTCAAACTGAATTTTTGGACATGCAACTAAGAGATACCTTTGAGCGCTCGCCAAGTGCTGAATCAACCACGCGCCCATATTCACCAGATTTTTTGTAGAAAATGAATTTTTCAGGACTCGTAACGCAAGATTTTCGTTTTCCAATTATGTGACTACCGAGCTTCCATCGAGTATAACTTTTTCAGCATGAATTTTTGAAGAATCTTTTACGCAACTAAGAGATCGTTTGACCGCTCGGCAAGAGCTGAATCAACCACGCGAAATTATTTACCAGATTTTGGAAGGAAATAAAACTTTCAGGACCCTTAAAGCGACATTTTAGCTTTTCAATTATGTGGCTAGCGAGCTTCCATGAGTTCCAACTTTTTTACAATCAATTTTTGAGGAAGCTTTTACGCAACTAAGAGATCCGTTTGAGCGCTCGTCAGGTGCTGAATCAACCACGCGCCAATATTTACCAGATTTTTTGAAGAAAATGAAACTTTCAGCATGCCTAAAGCGAGATTTTCTCTTTCCAACTATGTGACCAGCGAGCTTCTATCGAGTGTAACTTTTCCACAATTAATTTTTGAGTAAGCTTTTACGCAACTAAGAGATGCAGTTGAGGTCTTATCAAGTGCTGAATCAACCACGCGCCAATATTTACTTAAGTTTTTGTAGGAAATAAAACTTTCAGCACATTTAAAGCAAGATCTGCTCTTTCGAACTATGTGACTAGCGAGCTTCCATCGAGTCTCTCTTTGTCAGAATAAATTTTTGAGGAATCTTTTACGCACCTAAGAGATGCGTTTGAGCGCTCGTCAAGTGCTGAATCAACCACGCGGAAATATTCACCAGATTTTTTGTAGAAAATGAAGCTTTCAAAACACTTCAAACCAGATTTTCTATTTCTAATTATGTGACTAGAGAGCTTCCATCGAGTCTAATTTTTTCACAATAATTTTTGAAGAACTTTTTACGCAACTAAGAGATGCGTTGTACCGCTCATCAAGTGTTGAATCGACCACGCGCGAGTACTCACCAGATTTTTTGTAGAAAATGAAACTTTCAGCACACCAGATTTTCGCTTTCCAATTATGTGACTATCGAGCTTGTATCGAGTCTAACTTTTTCACAATTAATTTTTGAAATTTTGAATGAAAAGCCTGCCACAGTTAACCAGGTTTTTTGCGTACAATAAAACGTTATTAAGAGTATTAAAAGTAAGATTTTCTGATTTCAACTTTATTTCGACCGTGTTTTCAGCTATCCGAATTTACGCAAAATAAATTCAAATCAGCCCAAAAAATCTTCTGTAAAAAATGCTCTTTGCCTTTTAATTATTTAGGTCTCACCAGACTAAATTAACTGGCAACTGTTTTTCCTCAACAAACCAAAAATTCCAGATGCTTCATCGTCAAACGAGGCCGTCCATCTTCAGCAGAGGCTGCGCAGCTTAAGCACTGAGCTGGTAACTCTTCGCAACCGGCTTCATGTGCAGGGCGGCCAACACTCGCCCACAAAGGGCGGCCCTGGGGCCACCAACACCACGTCCAGCCAAGGCTCTGGAAAACTGAACCATTCCAATGCCAAACAGCCGCACATTCCTCCCAGAGGAAACCAGTACAACCCTCAAGTGCCTGCAGTGGTAAAACCAGCCGAATGAGTGAGGAAACGAAGAACTAACTGAAAATCCATTGCAGGTTTCCACGCAAAAATCAATCCCAGCCTCCCTTATTCAGCCTCCTCAAAACACCGCAACTGCCGTCATTGAAGATCTCATCCATCTTCCGGGGCTTTTAACTGAAGATGCCGTCATGAAGTGTCTTCAGGCGCGGTTTGCAGCTAACCAGTTTTATGTGTGTATTTAGCTCGTGGTGGCGTCAACCAATAAAACCTGGATTTAAAATTGCAGACCAATGTTGGGCCGATCATACTTTGCGTAAACCCGTACCGGGACGTGGGCAATCCACTCACCCTGAACAGTACAAGAAGCTTAGCTTTAAGTCCGCAGCTGAATAAAGTGGTTCAAGAGGCGGTGCGACAACAGTCGGAAACTGGATATCCGCAAGCCATCATCCTATCTGGTAAGCATTCAGTAGAAAAATCCAAGGAAAAGCGTGGCTTACCACGCCCCCTTATCCAGGCACCAGTGGATCGGGCAAAAGCCACGCCTCAATGCTACTTTTGAGGCAACTGTTTGCTGTGGCGGGAGGCGGCCCGGAAACCGACGCCTTCAAGCATCTGGCCGCCGCTTTTACCGTCTTAAGATCACTGGGATCGGCCAAAACTTTGACCAATTCCGAATCGAGTCGCATAGTGAGTAAACGAGTGAGACAAGGACTCGAAAAGGCTCACCAAACTCCTTCCAGGGGCAGTTTATTGAGGTGCAAGTGACCGATGGCGCGCTGTATCGCACCAAAATCCATTGCTACTTCCTCGACCAAACCAGAGTGATACGGCCGTTACCAGGTGAGAAGAATTACCACATTTTCTACCAAATGCTTGCCGGACTGGCTGCGGAAGAGCGCACCAAGCTGAACTTGGATGGCCACAAACCGTCCACTTTGAAGTATCTACAGCAGGGCGATGTGCGGCAGGATGTAGCTGAGGATGCCACAAGGTAACGTGTAGAGGCGCTGAGGGTCGTACCTATGGACTATCCGATACTCAGCACTAGGCAGACAGTTACTCGTCGAGTAACTAGTCTTCTTGGGTACCGCATAGAAACCTGTCCAGCTTAGTAAGCGCTTGAGGTTACACTGAACTTTGCCTTGTTAGGTTTCAGGCCTGGAAAACGTGCTTGAGCGTGCTTGGCATTCCCTTTCTGGATGTGGTGCGCGTGCTTGCCGCAGTGCTGCTCTTAGGAAACGTCCAGTTCTCAGATGGAAAAGGTAAAGCCTCAAAGCACCAGGTACCACCCACCACAACCCGGCTCGAAATAAAAGCCAAAATTAACTTAAGTACTTTAACAGACAGACAAAACACTCCGACCAAACGAACAAATGAACAATTTAGTATATAAAGCGCCACAAACAAGGAGGTGGTAACTAAACAAAAGGACCTGAACACTATACCACCATGTGCGCATATGTTTCTTACCCTTTTTACCACCCGGTTTCTGGGTCTGGCGACCCACTGACGGGACCTTTTAAAAACATTTAACTTGACAGAGGTGGAGGGCTGATTCTTGTCAAGGGTGAATGTTAAATGGCTTTAACACCAGCGCTTGGCCCAATGACTTAATCAACTCGAGGCATTTTCCAGGAATTGAGGTGGATGTGAGGGGCGAAACCGAGCTCAATGCAGTCGCCGCCCTGCTGGGAGTATCTGGAGCCGCTCTGTTCCGAGGACTGACCTCCAGAACTCATAATGCCAGAGGCCAATTAGTCAAGTCCGTAAGTGATTAAGTAACTCCCTTTTAGGTGGAAGGATTGATTTAAAACTGAACATCTAGGTCTGCGACGCCAACATGTCCAACATGACCAGAGACTGTCTAGCTAAGGCGCTCTACTGTAGGACAGTGGCCACAATAGTGCGCAGAGCCAACAGTCTGAAGCGACTTGGTTCCACTCTGGGCACCCTCAGCTCCGACTCCAACGAGTCCGTCCACAACCAAGCAGAAGTACCCGATCCAGTCTGGACTGCTGTGCCGTTGCTAAATCAACTCTATTCCAGGTTACCAGCCAACAAGCTTCCACGGTGGGGAACAGCAGCAGCTCAGGCGGGAGCAAGTCCATGGTAGCTTTGAACAACGCGGTGAGACACGCCACCACTGATGGCTTTATCGGCATTCTGGATATGTTTGGGTTTGAGGATCCCAAGCCCGCTCAGCTGGAGCACCTGTGCATAAATCTCTGCGCCGAAACGATGCAGCATTTTTATAACACGCACATTTTCAAGTCCAGCATTGAGTCTTGCAGGTAATCAACCGCCGGAGGGTCCAGGTGCTGATTTATCGGCAAAAATCACTTTTAGGGATGAGGGCGTTTGCTGTGAAGTTGAGGTGGATTATGTGGACAACGTCCCTTGCATCGACCTGATTTCTTCGCTTCGGACTGGCCTGTTGAGCATGTTGGATGTTGAGTGTTCCATTCGAGGCACTGCTGAGTCATACATAGCCAAAATCAAGGTAAAAGCTGTTTTCTTGTTGATATTTTGGCTGGAATTGCGAGCGGATGCTGTCTATCCTCCCTTCTATTCACTTTCTAAATCATGGATTGTCGGGCAGGTTCAACACAAGAACAACAAGCGACTCTTCGAGCAAAAGTCCATCGACCCGCGTCTGTTTGGTATCCAGCACTTTGCAGGCAAAGTGGTGTACGATGCTGCCGATTTCCTGGACACCAACAAGGACGTGGTGCCTGATGATCTGGTGGCGGTCTTCTACAAGCAAACCTGCAACTTTGGCTTTGCCACCCACCTTTTTGGTAGCGAGCTGAAGGCCCTCTACTCAGTGGAGACGGTTCCTCGAGGAGTGAGCTTCAGGTGAGCTTAACCCCTCAGTCCGCTGAAGTCAAGATTTAGGGTGACTGGGTGGTGAAATTTATCAGTTCTTACATTCAACTATTTACTATATCAAGCGAAACAGTTCGTACTTGCCTCAAATTAGTAGATACGATTTTTTTAAAGAGGGTGCGGTTTTGGCTGGGAACTTTCATTGTTAGATTCTCGTTTAAAAAGCAGAAAATTTCTCGATTCTCAGATTCAACTATCTGCTATTTTGTGCTAAACTCTGAAATTTCTACTGATCCTCTGTTAAACGTTACAAATTTTTAAGGAGAGGGCGCTTTTGGCTGGAAAATGTGATTTTTTGACCCTTGTTTAAACCGCAGGAAAAAATCAGGATCTAGTTCAATTTCAATAAAAAATTCTCCATTCTCAGACTTAACCATTTGCTATATTCAGTCAAACTCTGAAGTTTCTACTTGCCTTTTGTTAGTAGTTACGAATTTTTTAAGGAGAGTGCGCATTTTGACTGGACATGTTCATTATTAGGTCGGCGATTAAACAGCAGAAAAAATCAGGATCTATAGCGATTTTATTTATAGAATTATTCGCTTGTTAGACAGAACTATCTGCTATATGATGCAAAACCTTCAACTTCGGAATTGCTTCCGGTGAATAGTTATAAATTTTTTAAGTAGAGCGCAATTTTGTCTGGAAACGTTCATTTTTAGATCCTCATTTAAACAGCAGGAAAAATTCAGAAACTTCTGCTAAATCAATGAAAATTTCCCGTTTCTTAGAATCAACTATCTGCTATACTGTGCTAAAATTTCAAGTTTATACTGATTCTCTGTTAGACGTGACGAATTTTTAAGGGAAGTGCGCTTTTGGATGGAAAATGTAATTTTTCGACCCTTGTTTAAAACGCAGGAAAAAATCAGGATCTAGTTCGATTTCACTCAAAATTTCTCGATTCTCCGACTTACCCATTTGCTATATTCGGTCAAACTCTGAAGTTTCTACTTGCCTCCTGTTGGTAGTTACGATTTTTTTAAGAAGAGTGTGCTTTTGGCAGGCTCGTTCATTATTAGGTCGGCGATAAAACAGAAGAAACAATCAGGATCTAGAGCGATTTTATTTAAAATTATTTGCTTGTTAGACAGAACTATCTGCTCTATGATGCAGAACGTTCAACTTCGGACTTGCTTCCGGTGCATAGTTATCAATTTTTTAAGTAGAGCGCAGTTTTGGCTGGAAACGTTCATTTTTAGATTCTCATTTAAACAGCAGCAACTTCTGCCAAATAAATGAAAATTTTCAATTCTTAGAATCAACTATCTACTATATTTCTTTAAGCTCCGAAGTTTCTACTTGTCTCTTGTTAGCAGTAACGAATTTTTTAAGGAGAGAGCACTTTTGTCTATACATGTTCATTTTTAGATCGGCGTTTATCCGGAAGCAAAAATAAGGCTCTGGTGCGATTTTAAATGAAAATTGTCCACTTCCTAGATACAATGCTATCTGCTATATCATGCGAAACTTTCAAGTTCGGACTTGCCTTCGGTGAATAGTTCCCAATTTTTTGAGCAAAGCGCGGTTCTGGCAGGAAACATTTATTTTTGGATTGTCGTTGAAACAGCAGGAAAAAATCAGGATTTTGTGCCACGAGAGTGAAAATTTGTTCATGCTCAGATTCAACTGTTGACAATATTCTTTCAAATGGTTAAGTTTCCACTTGCTCCCCATTAGTAGTCATGATTTTTAAAGAGAGTTTGCCTTGGGCTTTAATTAGTTTTTAGATCCTCGTTTAAACGTCGGTAAAAAAACTATAATCTAGTGCGATTTACATGAAAGCTGCTCAATTCTCAAATATAACAGTCCGCTATTAATTGCAAAACTTTCAAGTTTGTACTTGCCTTCGTTAAATAGATTAGAATTTTTTAAGTTAAGGGCGGTTTTGGCTGAAAATATTTATTTTTAGATCGTCGTTTAAACAGCAGGAAGAAATCAGGATCTTGTGCGACGACAGTGAAAATTTCTTAATTCGCAGACTCATCTGTTTGCTATATTCTGCCAAATGGTTAAGTTTGTACTTGCTCCCGATTAGTAGTTATCATTTTTAAAGAGAGTTCGCTTTGGGCTTTAATAGTTCGTTTTTAGATCATCGTTTAAACAGCGGGAAAAAACCAGAATCTAGTGAGATTTACATAAAGGCTCCTCAATTCTCAATTGCAAAACTTTCAAGTTCGTACTTGCCTTCGGTGAATAATTCCGAATTTTTAAGTAAAGCGCGGTTTTGGCTGGGAACATTTATTTTTAGATCGTCACTTAAACAGCGCGAAAAAATCAGAATCTAGTGCGAATTACATGAAAGCTGCTCAATTCTCAAATATAACAGTTTGCTTTCAATTGAAAAACTTTCAAGTTCGTACTTGCCTTCGGTGAATAGTTCCGAATTTTTTAAGTAAAGCGCGGTTTTGGCAGGTAACATTTTTTTTTATCGTCGCTGAAACAGCGCGAAAAAATGAGAATCTAGTGCGATTTACAAGAACGCTGCTCAATTCTCAAATATAACAGTCTGCTATCAATTGCAGAACTTTCAAGTTGGTACTTGCCTCTGATTAGTATTTGCGATTTTTTAACTAGAGCGCGTTTTCGGCTGGACAGGCTAAACACGTTCATTTTCAAATTCGCGTTTAAACGGCAAGAAAAATTAGGAAAAATTAGTGCCTAATTGAATGCCATTTAAAATTTATCTTTTTTCAGAAATAATAATCCGCGTTTCCTTGCAAAATTTTAAAGTTTCCAGAATCAGGAAGAAACCAGGACCCAAAATTGAAATTAAAATCACTCTTTAAATCGTCTAAAAATCCCCTGGATCTATTGATTGTTTCTGTATCCCAATTGGTTTTCTGGAAACAACTTTCACTTAACTCAATAAAAAAATCGCGATCTTTTATTTGTGTGTTGTTCTAGTGTTAAAGTACCAACCTCTCGTTGTAATTCATTCTTCGCTTCGCAATTGTATCCAAAACACGCACAAATCACAAGTTCTTCGATCTTCGATTGCAGCTGACGCTCCTTGAAGATTGGACTGATGCCCGCCCCCTGATGGGCTACATTTTGTATCATTTTGCCCGTTCAGTGTGTCTATAACGTTTGCTTGAATGTTCCTCATGTTTAATTGGCAACAAAGCGTATTTTGATTTGAAATCAATCGAAATTCCAGAATATCCCCAACTTCACACACGGATCTGCTCAATGGCGACGAGCCGGTTTCCACTCTGACTCAAGACTTCCACACCCGCTTGGACAATCTGCTGCGCACTTTAGTGCATGCGCGACCTCACTTTGTCCGCTGCATCTGCAGCAACAGCCAAGAAGGAGCCAACCGGTTTGACCGCGGCATAGTAGTGAGGCAGATCCGCTCCCTCCAAGTCCTCGAAACCGTCAATCTCATGGCTGGAGGTACTGAGGTGAACCAACTCTTCAACTGCTAAAGTTTCCTAATTGCAGGCTTCCCACATCGGATGAGATACAAAGCCTTCAACTCGCGCTACCGCCTGTTGGCGCCGTTTGCAGAACTGAGTCGCACAGAGGAGAAAATCACCGACGATTGCAAAACCATCCTGCAGTACGCCACTGATCTACTCGCAAAGAAAGAGGTACCACCCAGGGCTCGATTTTTAATATAATGCTAAGGCTGCGATTGCATTCAGGCAATCAGCGCTGTGTCCACCAGCTGGGCGATGGGCAAACGGCACATTTTTCTGAGCGAAGGCATCAGGCAGCTGCTGGAAAAGCTGCGCAACGAGACGCGCCAAAGGGCGGCCACCCTCATCCAGGCCACATGGAAGGGCTGGCGATGTCGGTGAGTGCTGCAGGATTTTCATGAAATCCTGCTCCAACTAATGATAATAATCAAAACGACCAGATATCGCTGGACGACGCTGCGCAGAGACAAACCGGCGCCTGATGGTGTTGCAGCTGGCAAAGCAGCGCCCAGTCGGACCGGGGCTACTACCGGGCCGAGGCCCCGCCCCCAACCGATTGCCGGCACGCCCCCGCCTGATATGGGGGAAAAATGCGACGCCAAAATCATACAGCAAACCTGCAACCTCTTCGGTCTGGACCTGGAGCGCCCGCCCCCTGTGCCGCCCAGTCGCTCCTATACAGTCACTGGAAACACTAAACTTGGTACTTTACTTGCTCAAACAAACAAACTTCAACCCCTCACCCCCTCGCGTCCCGCCCTTTAAAAAGGGCCTAATTAGTGACCTAATTTGTCTGGCTGACTTTAATCCGTAAACGGTTCGAAAGACCGCGATTCTCTACTAATTTTATCTTTTCAGGTTACCCTCAAACCAGGGTGATGAAGATGTCCTATCCAGAGGACGCGTCAGGCGATGGCCCTGTTTTCTACAAGGGGGAAACTGTCCTGGTGGTTGGGGCGTCCCAGAGAAGAGGCCACCTCATAGTGGAGCACAAAAACCACACGCTGCACGTTCCTTTCCAGTTCATGGAGCTGAAACCGACTTTAAACATTTAAGAGGAGCGTGTAAATACTTCTGCAAATGGTGCTAGTTAAGTTGCAGTTACTCACCTTCCATTAATTATTTAGCGCAACCTGCCGACTAGCTGGGGGAAAATTACATGCAGGGTGTGGTTTTAGTGTTCAAACGCGGGCGCTGAAGGCATCGAATTGTCTCCACGAAATATACCCGATAGTGTTCTTTCACCGTTCCGAAACTTGCCATTTTTCGACTACGATCTTGTATAATGTTCTAGAATTATTTATGGATATATTTAAAAGCGTACTTGTAGCAATAGCTTATTACACACGTTATGCATTCATCCGGCTTTCATTGCCACTTCAGCCATTGCCAAACTGCCCAAAACATATTTTTTCAAATGGAAGCTCCTATTTTTGATAATTTTATCTTATTTAATTTCAAAAATAATGGTCAGTTTGTGGAAGGTTGTCTATTCCAAAAGTGTCTAGTTTTCGAAATATTGCCAATTTAAAGTTTTCGTAGAGCCATGTTTGCGCTATATTTGGAGAACATCTGAGCTCTCGATTTGCCTATAGTTTTTGAATAGAGCCTACACTGATCAATAGCGGCTTTGAGACACACATTTTCAAAAAATTGCTTAAATTAGCTTTTAATCAATTGGGGATTATAAATCTACCAGTTCAATAGAGCCCTATATGCTCTATGTTCTCCTAAAATGGTACTCTTCTATATGCTCACAGTTTCTAAGGGTAATTTTTTTAAGTTGCAACTGCACAGGATTAATGGCATTTCAAAATGCGTTTTCAAAAATTTACTAAACTCTCTCTTAAATTTAGTGGGTATTTTAATTACATCTGTTAAATAGAACTAAACTATTGGATGATAGAACTATGTTTCTCTATATTGAGTAGAAGCTGGAGCTCTCTCTGTTTAGAGCTTCTAAGGAACACGTTTGCATATAGAGCTTGCGCGAATTTTCAAAAAGTTTCAGAAATCGCTCCGCAATCTTCGCGTTTTTCACATTTGAATAGTGCTGGTTGCTCTATATTACATGCAAGTTACAATTCGCTGTTTGATTAAGGCTTCTAAGGACGATTGTTTTACATTGAAACCTGTACAGATTTAACAGCAGCTTTGAAAATTCAAAATAAAAAATCCGGATATCGCTCTTGATATCTTAAGACTTTCGTTATTTTTACGGTTAGAACTAGAGTTGCTTTTATTGAAATTGCAGTTCTCTATCCTTTTAAGAGGCCGAAGGGCGATTTTTTGAAAATAGAACCTGCAAATCTTTAAACTCGACTTTAAAATCCACATTTCAAAAAAATCCAGCAAGTGCTATGGAACCAGGCGAATTTTGGAACTTCGCCGGTTCAATAGAGCCATGTTCGGTTTACTTGCTGCTAACATAACAGTCGTTTGTCTGCTTAAAGTTTCTTAGGGCGAATTTTTCAAAAGTAAAAGAGCTTCAAATGTTTGAAATGCGAGTTTTAAAAATTTTACAAAGCTCAACCTGGAAGTGGGCTTTCCAATCGAACCCGTTCCATAGAGTCAGCAATTCTCTATATTAGGTATAAATCACAGCTCTGTCTAGTTAGAGCTTCTATGGAAAATGTTTGTATATTGTTCGCGTGCATAGATTTAACCGCGGTTTCAAGAAACACATTTTAAAAAAATTGCAACATCTTGCAGCCACCTAAACAAATGTTTAGTTGCATTTTTCCAATAGAGCCATATGTGCTCTATGTTTATAAAACAACTACCGAGCTCTATCTAGTTAGAGCCTCAAAGCACGAATTTTTGAAATAGAGCCTGAACGATTTTAACAGAAGCTTTCAAATGAGCGTACACTTTTACCACCACACTAGAGCCCACTGGACGTTCTGATTGCTGATGTTCGATCAAACTATATTCGCTTTAAATTCAGAAAATAATACAGTGCTCTATCTATGTAGGGCTATGAAGAGCGATATTTTCAGATAGCGCGAGCACAGATTCAACAGCAGCTTCAACAAGCGCATTTTTTTATTGCAAAAATCATCGCCCTGCTTAAGAAACTCTCTTGTTTTATTTTCCAATAAAGCCGAATGTACTCTATGTTTCGAAAAAAACCTACTGAGCTCTATATGGTTAGAGCTTCAGAGCGTGAATTTTTCAAATAAGGCCTGCAAACTTGCAACAGCTGCTTCCTAGTTAAACGATCTTTGCTGGTTGACCAAAGGCTGCAAGTTTGGAAACTCTTGCTTAATTTAGTCACCGAAAAACTTCTTCTACCTCAAGTCTGAGATGGACATGTCGGCTAGTCAATTCTGGAAAATAGTAACAATTTACTCTGATTTATACTGATTTAGACTGATTTGAGGGAATGAGAAATTTCGTTGTTAAAAGCGGGAAATTTCGGCAAACTGAAGCAACAATTTAGGCACATTGAGCGACACATACGTACCCCAACAAATAGGTTTGTAGGTATAACGCGCGACATTATTTCACGTAGAATGGCTTTTCCATAATTCAGCGTCTCCATTGCCGGCAATGGACAGCCAATTTGACTGTAAGTAGTCCTATTAACATTTAACACATAAGACACAAAGCAACAGACAACAGTTAGGCGTACTAGACAAACATCAGGTTCAAATCGTTCATTCTCATTTCTTGGTCAAGGAAATTGGTCACCAAACCAGCTTCAGCGGTATACAATTTTTTGCAATAAAGACACTATTCGATTTCGGCTGAAAATAACGGTCATAAAACTGTCTGCCGATATCCCCATTTTCTCGTTAGAATCCGATTTTCCATGGGCCGCATTATCGGCGTGCTAACGATTTAAATCAGAGAAACTTAAGCTGGATCCAGAAATATGTTGCCAGAACTCGATCAGAAAAATCTCCAGGTTTTTATGAATTAGCATTGCACCTTGGCGGGCTCTTTCCATTGCGCGACAAATTAGACTGTTGGGCAAAAAACGAGTTTCCCTTTAGGCCCATAAATCTCCACTGTTTTAATGGATTTTACCTGGATTAGAACGCAAGTCGGTTGTGTTTTTTTGATTTTTTTTTCAGTTTGGACAGACGCTTTATCTGGTTTATTCAGCTAAAATTACTAAGCTTGATCTGCTCAGAACGGGAAAGGGCAACATTTTCACATAGTTTCAAATGATGAGATTAAGATGCATGCTTTAAAAAAATGTCCAAACTCACATTTTAAATTAACGTGCTTTGAAATATTGTCCACTCAACAGAGCCAACTTTGCTCTATATTGGGTAATAATTTCAGCTCACTTTCTGCTCAGAGCTTTCAGGAAAAATTTTCAAAGTGCAGTCTTCACAGTTTTAAACGCGAATGTGAGGTGCACTTTAAAAATAAAATTCAAAAATATCTAAGGATTTTAGTCGACATTACACAAACCAGTGTTGAATAGAGCCATATTTGCTTTATATTTAAGGAAAAACTAGGCAACTTAGAACGTCAGAAAGGATAATTTTTCAAATAGAGCCTGCATATTTTTAACAGAGGGTTTGTGATGCGCATTTTCAAAAATTTGCAAAAATTGTTTTTGATCTTAGTGCATACTCTCGTTCAGCCAGTTCAATAACCTGAACTTCGCTCTATTATTAAATTTTCTTGATATCTGGTAGAAAATTCAGCTCCATATTTGCTTAGGGTTTCTGAGGCAAATTTTTCAAGTGAAGTAAACGATTTTAACATCGGCGTCAAAATATCATTTTGAAAAATTACTCTTGAGCTCAGTCGACAATACAACTGCAACTGTTTAATGGAGCCATATTTGCTCTATATACGATGAAAATATCAGCTCGGTATCTGTTTAGGACTTTTTAGGGCAATTTTTTGAAATAAACCTCCACCCTTTTACAGTAACTTTGAGATGCGCATAGTTAAAATTTTTCAAAGTTGTTCATTGGGAAACCGTCGGGAACAAACTAGTTACCGGAGTAATTGCAAAAAGCCAATAAAACAGAATTTTCATATATTGTATTATCCTACTATTGTTACACAATTTATTAACATACTCTTTTTTAGGTTCATTTAGGTTCTTTTGATAACGATAGCAG